ATTAAAAAAAAAAAAAAAAGAAAGAAACAAAACTCACAAAGGTTAAATTACTTGTCCAAGGTCACAAAGACAGAAGAAAAGGCAGTAAAGACTGCAACCCAAGTCCTCTACAATCAGATGTTTGCTTGAACAGTGCTGTTCACTAATGAGAAGACAGAGTAGCAGGCAGGTTTTTTTCCACTCTAGTCCACTAAAATGACGTTTTAAATCAAACAGAGCTGCACAACTACTACCAACAGCTTCTGCACAGAGGCAAAACAAGGTCTAAATAATGGACAAGTTCCTTTTTCTTCTGGCCAATCCAGTTTAATGAAACTATAAGAATCACAACCCAAATCTCAAAGGCCTCAGAGAAGAACTATGAAGCAGACTCATTTGAGCCTAGGAGACAACTTCTTTTCCCAATAACCTAAAATCAAGTTAGGATATTGGGTTTAATCAAAGAACTGCATTTTTAAAAATCCAGGACACTGGCCAAGTTAAATTTTACTTAAAAATCAAGAGACTGGTTCAACAGAAGTATATTTACCTATTTACTGTAAGTAGCAGTAAGCATCCACTATGTGTCAGAGTAACCCAGCAAGCCAGGCAGAGATTATAAAGAACAATTGCTAGGAGTTTATGCCTTCAAGAAATCTGTGACACAGCTGTTTAGACTATACAGAGGCACTGAAAGAAAACACATAAATGTAAAGCTAATGTTACATGTTAAGAACTCCAAGCACCAAGATTACATAACAATCGACAGATTATATTTACTGTGTAATATCCATCAGATTCTTACTGTTAAGCCCTTTCCAGGTGTCAGGAAGATGTGAAGAGGCTGGGATCACCGAAGCAAATAGCACCCTGAGAAATCTGTTGAGGCTAAGAAACTATCCAAGCAGGAAGATTGGCTGCATAGTCAGCAAGACCAGGCTAACATTATTGGTTTGGAGTAGGAAGGAAAATGGGGATTATTTTCAGTCAAGCTCATGAGCACATCTTCATGCAAAACACAGTGATACAAGATAATCCTGGACTTGGGGAAACCTATAATCCAGTCAGGGAAACAAAACCAACACACGTCAACAAATCTAACACTATAATCCCAAGATGGAGCCTATTTAGATAACCAAGAAATAAAAGGGAAAGATCCCGGGGTAGAAGTGTTTGAGGAAGTGATAGGAAGGGGGGGAAGCTGAAGTGAACCTAAAATGGTTTAAATAAAGGAAAAGTGCATGTCAGACTGGCAGTAACAGGAACCTGAGTGAAGATGAAAAGCAACAAACCGGTTGCTTTTTCAACTTGAGTCCATCAAATTACCTCGGCAAATGGAAAAATAAAAAGGGCAGTCAGTATCAGATCTGCTCAAAAAGATCCTCATCCACCCACTTCAAAGAACTAAAAAGAAGAAACAAAACACCTCCTCCCTAAATTCTGTAAAGAAAATAGATTTGGCAATGTTTTCCCTTCATTGTAGTCTGACATTATAAAGTCAATTCCATAAGAGCCACAAACCAAAACAGGTACATGTGTTATCAGTAATGAAATTTCTCTAAATATGATTAACACATGTACGCAGCAGGAAGAGGTATGGTAGAAAACTACCATGCTGATGCAAAAACAAAAAAACAAAACAAAACAAAAAACACAACAGAAATTGGGCCCAAGTCCCACTACCAATTTAGCAGCAATTTCAAAAACTAAGTAGCTGTAACTTATCTGCAACTTACCTTACATCAAGGTCACACACCACGCCCCCACCCCCCCATCCACCCCCTCCCCTTCACCATCACTGGTGAAAAGCTCTAAATGTACTTAATGACCTCAAAAAGCTAATGTAATTTTCTAAAACTAATGATAATGTATTACACTTATTTAGCAGTTTGTAATTTTTCACAGCCACTGTATCCACTGGGTATCACAACCACCCAATGAGGTAAAACAGTGATTGCCCATCCCCATTTTACAGATAACTGGAGACCAGACAGAGTAAGTGAATAGCTCAAGGTCACACAGCTACTGTCAGTGTTGTGAATTCCCAGGCCAGTGTGTTCCTTTGCTAGGATAATGTGCTTAAACAGGATCATCAAATCTTATCCAGATAACATAAATCCAGTAATCTTCAAAGTTAGAATGAAAAAGTAAATATTACTTCAAATTTACTTTGCTAGGTGAAAGCATTGATTTTACACTGGCCTAGCATCTTTCATTTTTTTTTAAATAATTATCTTAGTTTAGCAGCTTCTAGAACTCTAACTGCCAAAAGTATTCCAAAACTTTCAGAAAGTAAATGAAAAACTAAAACAAAAAGCTTGTTCACGACACAAACCTAAACAGTAATCGTCAGCAGAGCAAGACTTAAAGATGACTCAAATGCCTTAAAAACTGGGAATGAACAGAGACAATGGTGTTAATTACAGTCCTTAAATTCTTAAGGATATTGGCACATTCATAGAAAGGCAGATGTGAACAAAGACAACCTCCAACCATGCTAATATGCTCTCTTAAGCATAAAATAAATGAAATAAAAACTCTGCCAACAATCTCACAATGATGTAAAAGCCTAATTCAATCTTTCTGGGGTTGAACATGGAGCAGGGTTGTTTCAAAATGAAGAATTAGAAATTTTGTTTACTCTACAAAATTCGTAATGCTGATCTCTCTGCACAATGTAAATATGAAGATAAATCTCAATAAAACCATCTGCAACTTACTGTCTCTAAATCTCTAAGGCCATTCCTCAATCCTAACTGCTCCCTCCACACACACACCCCCACCCCGTGTAAATGCGACAGACAGACACACACACACACACACACACACGCCTCATATAGAGGCCTCTTGCCTTTTTCTCCAACAACTAGGACCTTTGTTCCGAGCGTCGGTTTTTTGCCCCACTCAATAGCTCTTTCAACTTTCTACCCTATATTTTTTGTTTTGTTTTGATTTTAGAGAGGAGATCCTCAGCCTCCACTTCCTGGGTCTTTAAAAAATGAAATGCCAAAAATATCTAGAGAGAGACTGGAGAGGAATACAAAGTTGAACAGAGCACCTAAGGGCCTACAAAACGGAGTAGAGCCCGGGGATCGGGTGATTTGGCAAGCCGGGCCGGATCCGGGGAAGGCCGACTAGGAGAGGAGACAGCAGGGGAGCAGTTAGACGGCCACTCGGAACACGTTCACTGCGCTACTAAACGTACCCCCCGCGCCCCTCCCGCACGAACGTTTCCTCACTGCCACAGTCCCTCCTTCAATTAACTAACGAAGCAATTAAACTATACCCACCGCCAGACACGACGCTTAAGCCAACCGTCCCCAAAGTAAAACGGCGTTATCAGAGGCCAACCAACCTGTCCTAAGGGTTTGGGAGCAGCCCCTTCCGTTCTCTCCTTACCGCACAAGGGTAACCAATTCCCCTCCTGTCCCCCCAGCCGTTCAAACGTGTTATTTCCTCCCGACTCGCCTGTGCTTTTAAATCTTTATTTTTTCCCCTGTGGCAAATTGAGGATTTCTGTTCTTCTGAGGAAGGAAGCGCCGCGAAGGACAGGATTGGGGATTTTCCAGCCTTCGTTATCTGAACTCCCCTCTAACTTGTTTCTAAACTAAAAACCCCACTCACTATGGAGGAGGATGGAGGAGAGGGTGGACTGAATGGGCAAACGATATAATGGGTTTTATGTAATCCACATATAAATAAATTAATCGCCTGACTCGCTTTGAATACTAATACGATTGGAGTGACAATTGGCCCACCTCCCTCCCAAGTCCTGGACCCCCACCCCCCATTTCCATTCGGATCTATTCAGAAGCATGCTCTGCTCCTCTCAGCCAAGTTTCTCGGCCTCTTCTCCAGCCCCGCTTCATGCCCGTCTCGTCGTCATCCTCTCAGCCTCAACTTGCCACGGCCGAAGACACAGCCCGGCGCAGACCCCGGCTCCGGCCTCGCCCGCCCACAACCCTCCCCCTTGGCAGGAAACCCCTTACTGCGGTCTAAAGTCACTCCGGCCTCTCCCTCCTCTGACCCTCGCTTCCCACAACTGTTGTCACTCGAGCTGCTCCCTAGTTTCCATTTCCGGGCCGTCCCCGGCCCTGGAGCCTCTCCTCTCCCGGTTTCCGGGCCCCCCATCCCATTTCCGGGGAACCCTCGCCGTCTCCACACCCCCCCACCTGCACTTCCGGCCCCCCACTTTCTCGCTTCCTAGACGCCCTCCAAGCTCCAAAGCCCACTTCCGTCCCCCCCCCCCGGCCACCACCGGGCTCCCCAAGACCTGCACGCCTTACCCCGGTTCCGTGAAGGGCCCTCCTCATCGCGGGAGGCCTGAGGGGGGGACCCAGCGAACCCCCCGCCCCCCCGCTACCGCCCGGCCCCGGTCTCCCTCGAGCGTCTCGCCCGTCAACCCCCGACCCAGTCCTTCCGCGGCCCCGCAGCCACCGCCGCCGGGAGCAGGCCGAGCGGGGGCCGAATCGCGGCGATGACACAACCGGGCTTCCTGGGACTTTCTGTTCCAGCTCCTCCCCACCCCACCCCCGCCTCGCCGCCCCCCCACCCCCTCAGCACAACCCCCTCCCCCAAGCCTGGCCCGGCCACTCGGACCTGCGCCCCAATTACCTAGTTGGGCCCCAAAGTCTCCGGTCCGGACTCGGTGGCGCGGCAGTAACTTCCACTCGCTCCCCCCACCCCCCCCCGGCGGCGGCGGCGGCGGCGGCGGCTCCTCGGGTCCCTTCAATTATCAGCTGAGCCGCAGCACCGCGGCCGGCGTGCGCCTCCGCCCGCGCCGCCTCCCTCCCCGCCCGTTCCAACACCCTCCGGGAACTACTTTGCCCGCCGCCTCCAGCTGACGGGCTAGTCCGCGGTAAGGGCCCGCTGCCTACTCGCAGCCCATCACATCGCCCCTCCCTCCCCCACCGCCCGGCGTGACTCTCCCAGCGGCCTGAGATCTCCTCCAGATCCCTTCGAGGGACCAGGAAGGGGAATGTGGGACTCCGCTTGGTATCCCTCCGCCGGGGTCACCCCCTCCCCTCCGTGGCAGCAGGAACTAATTCCCCTTCGGGTCACCAGGGACCTGAGGGGGGGAATTTCACGGATCAGTGTTCCCTCTGACTCTTGGGAGAAGGGGCGCTAACCCAAAGGAAGAAACCCTCTGCTAGCTCAAAAGCGGGGTTCGATTTAAACTAGGGCTTTGGCCCCATGACCCCAATCAAGCCCCGCCCCTTCCTGGTTGTCTTAGCGACGGCGGTGGCGTCCCAAGATGGCGTCGTGGCTGCCGGAGACTCTGTTCGAAATTGTAGGACAAGGCCCAGCGCCGAGCAAAGACTATTACCAGTTATTGGTCACCCGGTCCCAGGCAAGTGTGAGGCGCGGTTTACCCTCTCTAAGCTCCCTGCCGCCCCGGGGGAGCGCGGAACGCGAGCCCCGCTAGGCCGCGAGCCACTGTGGCCCGCCGGAAGCGTCCGGTCCCCGCTCCGGGCCGGGAGATTTCCCTCGTCACCTCGGCCTTCTCGGCCGGCTCCTCCGTAGCCCGCGTGTCTCCTCCCTGCCCGAGGCCGGCGCGTCCCTGGCGAGCTTTCCTGCCTCCCCACATCGCCTCCCGCTCCCTTCCTGCGCCCGAGGGTGCCTACCCGCAGAGTTCCCTCCGCGCGAAGAGAGAAACAGGCGTCCCGGGCTTGCGTGCCGCCTCACCTCAGCGTGGGAAGGAGAGAAAGAAAGACTCAGCCAAGTGTCCCGAGGAGGAGCCGGCAGGGGAGGGGAGAGAGGGAAGATCTCTTTTCCAGGGTAGGACTTAATCACGGGGGATGTTTTCAGATCTCCTTGTGGTCTTGACGGGTCCCCCGACCACATCAAAACTTCCTTGTTTCTAGTAGGAGTTGATCGTTGAGCGCTTTCCCCTTACCTTTTTGGAGCCCCTTCTATCCCATTGAAAGGGTGCGGGGGGTGGTACAAAAATGTTTCAGCTGCTCGGCGCGTCAGCCCCACCCATAATGACATCTGCTCCACAACAATAAGGCCGATGATTATGTTATCGCTGGAGTGAAGTAACCATCAGCCTATTTTTGTGGCTACTTGAGCTATTTAAGGTGGGCTTTGGGATGATTTATTGTGCCCATGAAATGATCGAGTTGAACTGGGCCTCCCCTCGGAACACGTTTTCTGATTCCGGACTGAACTTAAGCCTGTCGCTGAGCTAAAGCACCTTGTACTTTAATAGATGGTATTTCTATAAAACGACATTTAGAACTTTGTGTATATTTGTTTTGGGGTAGATCTTGAATATTGCAGCCGTTTTCCCGTGAGCCCTTAAGTAGGGAGAGAATGCTTTTTTCTACTTAAAGAGCATCTTTTAAAGTAAAAATAATGTATGTTTTATTTTTTAAACTTGAAATGTATAAATATTGCAAGTATAGTATCAGTAATAAAAGCGTGATAGCCTATCAAACTTAAATATTTAATTGAACATTGTGGGGGGCGAATTTTTACACATTTAATTAGAAAATTTCTTAAAAGCGGAAATTCACTTTTTTGTACATTTTAGGATATTCCATTTGTTGTAAGAGGTATGATCCTAACCGTTTCTAACTTTCTAACATTAGTGATCGAAAACAATAACATTTTACCATACTTTGTTTTTTATTTTCATCTACCTCACGTAAGTTAAAATGTTTACAGTCTTTTCCATAATTTGTCTTTAAAAAAATTTTTTTGAGATTGTCATTTTCTGAAAGGTCTGGGTATTACAAGTGTGTATAATGTTGTAAGCCTCAACAAGCGAATATTTGTTTACTTTTTTATTTTAGTAAATTAACCATTAAAAGTGCTCCGGGCATTAGTTTTCCCCAGGAATGCTTCCCTTGTTGATTTTCAGACTTCGCTCTGTAGTCTAACTTAGGCACACGCCTGTGTTTTACCAAATCTCCCTCCCCCCACACAAGTATTCTTAATTTTTTCTCTTTCCTTCTTTCTTTTTTTTTTCTAACAGATCAAAACTGACTTTTATTTCAGGCCCTCTCTTCCTGTCAATTGCGTCTATATAAAATCCTTTTCAAGCTGATCCATTTTCTTTTTTAAGCAGATGGAATATATCCACTGTAGTTCTACCAGTGAGAGTTAATCTTGAATCTGATTAATTCACTCTCTTTTTAAAGTAAAATTTGTTGTAAAAAATAGTAAGCCAAAAAAATAGTCTTTTCAGTCAACCGTCTTGAGAATATGCTATTTTCTAACCACAGGATAATTTTTCTAAGTCTCAGCACAGGAAACCAAACATCCACTAAGAGGTGGTCTGACATAAATAAGTACTAAGAGACTAGAATTAAAATGTGTTCTATAAGATGGACTTTTTCTGGAGTGACTTTCTAAAAATTTTTCCTTTCTCTTTTCTTCCTTTATTTCCAAAAATATTGTTTATTATTCAAAATATGCCCCAGATTTAGATAGATCTTTCTTTCCCTCTGATTCTCTTTTTTATTTTTCACTGCTTTTGTTTTTATTGACTTTAAATTCAAATGACTGCACATCTGACACAGATTTGAGGACAGGTATCTCTCTCATTAGGGTCATACCACCACAGTTGGTATAGCACAGAATGTAAATGTTGTACATAAATATTTTCTTTATTTCTTGCTGATACAGTAACATTAAATATATATTTTTATGTTTAGAGAGGCATTCCCTGTTAACCACTTGATGCCACGATTTTTTTAGTTTTTTACCAAGAAAGGAACTTACAGAATATAGCTTGTCAATATGGCTTCTCAAATTCAACTTTTTTTTTTTTTTTAATGTCTATTTATTTGAGAGAGAGAAAGAGCAAGCAGGGAGTGCAAGTTGGGGAAGGGTGGGGGGGGAGAGGGAGAGAGAGAGAGAGAGAGAGAAAGAGAGAGAGAGAGAGAGAGAATCCCAAGCAGGCTCTGCACTGACAGCACAGTCCCCAGTGCATGGCTCAGTCTTACAAACTGAGAAATCATGACCTGAGCCAAAATCAAGAGTCAGTCGCTTAACCTACTGAACCACCAGGCACCCTTCAAATTTTATCTTTATAATTATCTGAAGGCTTAGAAAAATCAATGCACTGCTTTCTAAATCAAAGATTTCTATTTTCACTCTAGTTTTAGTAGTATATATATTTTCTTACATTGGTTTCTAACTCTTTGAAAACTAGTAGATTAATAGTAAGTTAGAGCTGGAAAGAACCTTGAATGTCTTTTAGGCAAGGGATATTCCATACTTCACTTCTAAGAAATCTTAAATTGAGACCCCTAATTGTAATCAGCAAGTTGGCATTTCTATGGGGATGCAAAATATCAGATTTCTGCCTTCAAAGAATTCATCTTTCATTCCACCAATATGTATTAAGCACCTTTTAAAGTTTATTTATTTATTTTGAGAGAGAGAGAGAGAGAGAATCCCAAGCAGCCTTGGTGCTCAGCACAGTGCATGAACTGTGAGATCCAGACCTGAGCTGAAATCAAGAGTCTGATGTTGAACTGACTGAGCCACACAGGTGCCCAAGCACCTATTATATGCCAGGTACTGCTCTAAATGCTGGGGAAACATCAGTGAACCAAACAAAAATCCCTCTTCTCTGGAGCATATAATCTAGGTGGGAGAATACAGCTAGTGATTTGATTTATATAAACACTGAAACAGTTTTTTTAAGAGCAGAAGAAGTTCATCGCCAAGTTAATAAATAGCACAAATGCTTTGAAATCTGAGTCCAGGGACACCAGGGTGGCTCAGTCGGTTGAGTATCCGATATCGGCTCAGGTCATGATCTTGAGGTTCATGATTTCGAGCCCCTTGTCAGGCTCTGTGCTGACAGCTCAGAGTCTAGAACCTGCTTTGGATTCTGTGTCTCCCTGGCTCTCTGCCCCTCCCTCGCTCACACTGTGTGTGTGTGTGTGTGTGTGTGTGTCTCAAAAATAAACATTAAAAAAATTTTAACTAAACTGAGTTCAGGGGAAGCAAAAATCACTTTGGACCAGGAGGCTACTATTATCAATATTTTACCATTGAAATTCTATCTTCTTCGTTCTCTGGAAATGGAAGTATTGTTTAAGATGGTCATAACGAGTGGCTTAGGTTTAATGTGACAAATACTGAAAAACTGCTGGAAACAGTAACTACATGCTAAGTAGATGATAATTGGCGGATACTGGCCCCTTGTATCTGCTGGGCGGCTGTCCCTGGAGCACCAACATGTGATAGTCACCCTAGCAAATGAAAAGAGGAAGAGTTGCATAATGGATTACCTTAATTTACCTATTTTACTCCCTCCTAAAAAACTCCAATAAGATACCTAAAGTAAAGTCATCAGAAAAAAAATTCCAAAACCTCATTCGCCAAAAATAACCAATATAATGTTTTATTTATTCTTGAGAGAGAGAGAGAGAACAGTGTGAGCAGGGAGGGTCAGAGAGAGAGGGAGACAGAATCCGAAACAGGCTCCAGGCTCTGAGCTAGCTGTTAGCACAGAGCCCGCGGGGCTCGAACCCACAAACCATGAGATCATGACCTGAGCTGAAGTCAGACGTTTAACCGACTGAGCCACCCAGGCGCCCCCAAAATAACCAATATTTTTGACGTGCTTTACAGTTGTAGCACTGACAGACTAAAAACACCTGAGGTCGCATGCCTACCTCTGACAGGAAACTGTCGTCCCCAAAGACTTCTAAAAAGGAATTAAAACTAGACTTGGTGGGGATGCCTGGGTTGCTCAGTTAGTTAAGCTTCGGCCTCTTGGTTTCAGCTCAGGTCATGATCTTGTGGTTGTGGGATTGAGCCCCATCTCAGCTCCATGCTGAGCATGGAGCCTGCTTGGGATTCTCTCCCCCACCCTTGCCTCTTCCCCCCCCCCCCACAGGCTCTCTCAAAATCAATTAATTAATTAAATAATAAAAAAAATAACTAGACTTGGTGGCTAATGTTTAGACTTTGCAACAAAGAATCCTGCTGGTATCCATTCAAACTACACAGCAATTTTAAAGTGCAGCCTACTAAAAATGTTAATGCATACACCCTTTGACCCTGCAGATCCATTTCTAGGATTTTCTACACAAAATTGCTTTCACATAAGTACTAGGATCTGTGAGCAAGAAGCTCACCAGAGTAAAATAATTGTAAAAACATCTTTCCATTAGTGGAAATTTGGTTAAACTGTGAATCATTCACACCATAGAATACTCTGCAACCTTTCAAAACACAACGTGCCGGATCTCTTTAGTAGACCAAACCTTAAGCCAGAAAAGCAAGTTGCTGGGTTAAACATATTATGAACCCATTTGAAAAAACAACCACCACAGTTTTATTTTGTTTTAAATAAATGTTAATAGCATTTAAATAAGTGTTAGAGGAAACAGCTGAAGTGCATCATTCTGAGGGATGGGATTAGAGATTCCTTTCACTTTCTGCATTATATATTTTTTAATGCTTTATTTTTGAGGGAGGGGGGAGAATGAGTGGGGGAGGGGCAGAGCGAGAGGGAGACATAATCTGAAGCAGGCTCCAGGCTCTGAGCTGTCAGCCCAGAGCCCAATATGGGGCCCAAACTCAGGAACTTCGAGATCATGCCCTGAGCTGAAGTCGGACACTCAGCCCGGTGAGCCACCCAGGCGCCTCTGCATTATGTATTTTTGAAAGATCGGAGTTTTTGTACAATGAGCGTTTATTTTTATAATCAGAGAAAAGCAGTAAAAATGAAAATGGAAGTGGATAACGCTTCCTGCTCTGTACATCAGTCCACCTGCTGCATGAATACCGCCTTTGCGCCG